AAAAAATCCCACATCCCCAGAATTTTTCCGGGTACTATTGGGAAAAGTTTCTGGGTCTAAACTACTCATCTTGCACAGACACTAGCCCACATCCCTGGAATGTTCCTGGGTGGGGGAAACATTTCCGAATTATAAACTTCTGCATCAATCTGACACAGCAAAAACTTATTAAACAAAATTTTGACATGATATAATGATGGGGGCTCAAGTCTTTATGATAAAACAGAAGAAATGTTCTAATTAAGTTAGAAACATCCTTTATTTTCTAAAACAATCCTGAATGGAGCTGTTTATGTTACAGCCAAGACTGGAATTTTCCACCCTGTACTGGGGAAAGTTTTCAAAGAATCTAAACTATGCAAATTTTGACATGATATAATGATGGGGGCTCAAGTCTTTATGATAAAACAGAAGAAATGTTCTAATTAAGTTAGAAACATCCTTTATTTTCTAAAACAATCCTGAATGGAGCTGTTTATGTTACAGCCAAGACTGGAATTTTCCACCCTGTACTGGGGAAAGTTTTCAAAGAATCTAAACTATGCATCTCAAATGGACAGTCACAGAGCTGTATTTATTTACACAAACACCATTGAATATTGTAGATAAATAAAATAATGGATAGGTAAACCTCAAGACGTGATGGGGTTAGGTTCCTTAAAACCCATTTCTAGTCGAATTATTATAGATGGGATATGTTTCTAGCCAGTCCCCAAACACACATGTATCATAGACAAAACAATTCCTACAATACTACTATCAGTACAAAACAATTAAACAACATTCACCACAACGTGTCCCCTTCGAGGCTAAGTAGGTGGAGTGGAGACGTCACGCTGACTCCCACCACAGCCTCTAGGAGTCTCAAGCTGCATAACAAAATCAAGCTTCACCTCAGAGACAAGGTTGTCTTGGATGCCTTGGCCTTTCCAGACACAAAAACAGAGTAAAATTTTGACGATGTAAAAAAATCAACACCAAATACCACTACACGATGGCTAAGATCAGATTTACAGTGATCATTACCCGAATGATGTAACCTCGGAATGACGTCAAACATGCAACCTATACAGGAGGTTCTGCCAGTCCCTGGTAACTGCCAGGCTCAGCAGTTGAACCATGTTAAGACGTTCAGAGTATTATTTGCGTGTAGATGAAACTATCCTTTGTACATAAAATAATGTATACTGTACAGTACCAGCAAATGTGAAAAAATAAATAAAAATATTGTGTTGCCATTCATTTCACAGGACATGGGACAAAGAACATCCGAGAGATCCCCGCTCTGTGGGCTTACTCCCGTGTACATGTTTTTTTTTCCATTTTTGTTTTTTACCTTATGATTATTTTTTTTTTTTGTGTATTTTTTTTCACATTTTCTATGAAAGATTTTGTGTACTTGTAACAGAGTAAAAGAAAATTACGTATGTCTTCCCAATCTTATGAGTTGAAAAAGCCTTTTTTTTTCTTTAAACCAGTTTTTGTGATAAAGTCCAGAATGCGACGTCTAGCTTTATACCTACATATATAAATGCCTTGCATTAACTCGCCAGGCCAACATACAGGCAATTAAAACATCGAGTTGAAAAATAAACTGTTTTGAGTGCTAACTCTGGCTCAAGAGCACAGAAACGGAACTTATTTCCCCCATAAGTTATTGATATACACCTTACAATGGCTTTTCAGAAGTCCCTAACCCCATTGTATAATGGTCATCATCTTTATGAACTGTACAGTAAACCCTTGATAACTTGCAATATATGGGGCTCTTACCATTTCCAGATATCAAATTTTTCGAGTTATCGGGGCATTTTCATCCCACCCAAATACAGTAATATCTCATTAGCCGGAATCCCTCAGACCCGGAAATCTCTGATAGCCGGAATTTAAATTTTTTCGGAAAATCGTTGTTAAAGCCAGAAATTTTTTGGAAAATTCCAGCTTTAGGAACGATTTTCCAAGGGGCGCATTTTCCGGAAATTCCTTAGAAAAATAATTCCAGTACCTGGAAAATTCCGGGGATGAGGGATATTTTTTCAGGTTAGAGAGATATAATGGGCAATTTCTGGAACTTCCGAGAACATTTTTCCATTACTCAGAAAATTCCGGGTATGAGGGATTTTTTCCGGCTTTGAGAGTCGTCTCATTACCCGGAAGTCTCTCATTCCCTGATGTGCTCTGCACCAATTGTTCCGGCTAACGGAGATATCACTGTCTCTAACTTTTGGCCAAAATAATCTACCATAATCAGAAAACTTCCACAAAAATTAACACTTACCAGCATTGCAGTTGAAGGATGAAGATTATTCATGCTTGTGGTGCCATGTGGTAGGTGTCAGAGAAGGAGCCACGAATTACCCAAAAGTACCAAAAAGCATCCAAAAGTATAGCAAATAAGGGTAAAATCTTAACGAATATCTGTTATACATACACAAAACATGTTTAATAATATTTTTAGTGTAATTTTGTAAAAATAATTTGCAAGATGAAATAATAAACATCGAAAACCTTTCGGTATTGGCGAACGCTAAATTCCAAAGAGTTCGTGAACAAGGGAGATAACTCAGATCCATCGTGATGCACTTCGCTAACCTAACCTAACCTAACGAAAGGTAAATGCTACGGCTATGTTAAATACCCCAAAGTAACAGAAACATCGGTAATTATATCTCCATTTTGGATAGGTGACTCTTTGGAATTTAGCGTTTTTTGCTGTTTGTTATTTAATTATTTTGACTACATTTCAATGAAAACATTATTAATCAGGTTTTATTGGTGTAAAACATATATTCGTTAAGATTTTACCCTGATTTAATATACTTTTGGGTAATTCGTTGGACCAGTCAGAGGTGGTGGGGGCTCACTGCACTACAGTACCATATACGTATAGTACAAATCTGTATTGTAAGCACTTACAGCACCAACTTTAAATATTATTCAGTTAAACATTACTTTACATGTATAGTGGTTAAATTATCAATGCAAATGGAATAGCACTTTGTACAAAATACCTGAAAATAAGTAGAGCAACTGTGGATGGGTATCCTCACAAGGCCTACAGATGCATAACTGAGCAGCTGACCAGGCAGAGCCTCCCACTCATCCCACACATATTTTGCCATTCCAAGGTTGCTTCATCAGATCTTGGAATATTGCAAGTTATGTAAAAATACATTTTTTTTAATGTTAAAAGTAATTCAATAAAATAATTTAGTAGCATATTTTACTGCCATTCCAAGTTGCATACAGTATATCGAATTGAGTTAAGCGTTTACTGCACTCGCCAGCAGATGCTGTCATCTTGAGTCTACAGTAGGCATACACTGTCCATTCTGCTGAATGTACAGGACTGTATACAAAACTGGAATCACATTTTGTCTTAACACTGCAATCTTGGCAGATTGTTTCCTGGTACTGTAATGTACAGTACTACACAACATCATTGTACACAAAACATCAGCGAGTAAGGGATCACTCCAATGGCAGAATAATACAGTATGAACTTATTGTGCATGTTACCTCCACAACTATAGTCACTTTATGCGAGCTTGGCCCAGAAGCCACGCCCCCTTTCTATGCTGAAAAGTAGCCGATCGGTCCATAAAAAGTGTTGGTTTACCTCTGCATTTATCATACTAATATGTTCATAATTTATAATTAGACCTGTTCTTCTCAATAATAATGTTAACAATTACAAACATAAAAATGCAAATGATTTTAAGGCACTAGCACTTCAAAGGGGATGTTAAAAATGTTAGAATATGTATCACGAACGGTCGAAGTCGAGGACCAAAGTTGCATTCAGATGAAGCCTATCTATTATTTCTTTGTTTTGTGGCAAACAAACTAATAAGATCAAACATATAGCACAATAGACAATTCCATACAGTTTGTAAAGGCTAGATATAGTGTAAATCATTGTTTAACTGAACAAATTGATGAACATACGCACAGTTCGTGGGGAGGTACGCTCAGGGGAACAGCCACAGGGACGGAATGAACTGCCCCGCCTTGGTGTAAAAGGTTGTTGGCAACTCTGCAGTTCGCTCCATCCCTGTGGCTGTTCCCCTGATATACAACTGTGCGTAAATGAGTTACAATGATTCTAGCCTTTACAAACTGTATGGAATTGTCTATTGTGCTATATGTTTGATCTTATTAGTTTGTTTACTTTGTTTGCCACAAAACAAAGAAATAATAGATAGGCTTCATCCGAACGTAACTTTTGTCTGACTTCGACCGTTCGTTATACATATTTAATCATTTTTAACATCCTCTTTGATTATGCTAGTGCCTTAAAATCATTTGCATTTTTATTTATGTAATTTTTAACATTATTATAGAGAAGAACAGGTCTGATAATAAATAGTGAACACATTAGTATGAATAAATATACAGCGAAATGAACATTTGATATGAACCAATCAGCTCGCTTATAGAAATGGGGGCTTGGCCTCTGGGCCAAGCTAGTGTAAAGTGACTATAATCACCTCAATGTGCCCGGCATATTAGGACACGGAGAGAATTTCTTGAGAACGCGTCCCTTCACCCGGATTAATTCCTACTTATGGAGAGATTACTGTAATATTGAATGTTATACTGTACTGTACAGTCTTTCTTTTTTAAATTGGTCACTATTTGTTTGAAAACTGTTGATAAATAATATTTCTGTTTTGAAGCTAACATGATTTACATGTCCAAAGTTTATGTATTAAGAACATTGGCAAGCTGTAAGACATGTTGTAGCTCAAGCACTTACATTCAAGTTATTGTGCAAGTTATCTAGTGCGATACAACCTCTAACCTATTGACTGAAATGTGCAGCTTTTATAAAAAAAAAAAATTTGCTTTTGGATATTTTTAGGTAGAAGTGTGTAATCAAATACTGTACATGTATCTCGGTATTTTCAGATAGAAAATGTTTAACCCCCCCCCCAAACTGTTTGTGGAACGTTTTCAGTTTAAAAGGGGAACTACAAAAAGCTTCTTGATACTTTCAGGTGGATACAGAATACGTGGAAGAAGAGGTTTCATTCTCCAGATACCATCTCTCTGCTGCTTTAGTTTGTGCTAAAATATGTTCTGGTTTTGAAGAAGGTTGGAATATCAAATGAAATTGTATTTCAGATCTTCAAGTAAAATTAGAAGGCTATAAACCGGTTTGTATTTTCCTTTGTTGCCGTGTTTATTGTGTAATTTGTCAGTCAGATAAGTTTTCAAATGTTACAATATATGTATGGCATCTCATTCTTTATAATGTTGGCCCCAGTTTTCTGATATTACAGCAGTACAGGAAAAACAGTACAGCTTAAAACTTAGATACTCACTTGTGAGCTTTGCATAAAGTAATTTATAAACAGCCAGAACAGTTGCTAAATTTAGATATTATTTTAATAATTTATTTAAAGCATATTTAATTATGTAATATACTTTTAGTGAGCGTGAAACTACACCCCGGTTGCCATCAAGCATGTTGAAATTTTACAGATGGATGCCCTTCCAAAATGCCAACCCACAGGGTCACAACTCCAGTTAATCAGAGACTACCTGCAATACTTGGGTATTATACTGAAATAAAAAATCAAACATTCTACAAAAATTTCCATAAAGCTGGACATAATTACCATAGTACTTACAAGAGAGTGGGAAGATTCGTGTCCTTCCCAGTTTCTGATGAACTGTAAAGGTCAGGCTAAACTTACATATGAATCTGTAATTAAGAGATAATAGGAATCAGGGAACCTGTTAATACAAAGTCACTTTTATTTCTATCTAATGTACAAAATATATAAATGGCTGTAGTTAACTTTGGCTTTCCCAAAATGTCTTCCTTATAAATTACACATGAATCACAGACTCCTGAAAGACATTAAAAGTTTAAGAATATAGAGTAATAACGGTCCTCTTTAAACAATAAATATATACAACTCCTCCCCGACTTACGACCTGCCTCAGTCATTCCAAAATTTTGTCAAATGTATTTTTGACTCCCAATGTCAGTACACAGATAAAATTTTCATTTGTAATTCACTTTAAAATGGCTGGCAAACTTAAGTGAGTTTTGTGGTGCCGAGAAGAAAAAGAAACACCCATTTTCGACTTACAACCTGGATTTGGGTCCCTAACCCCGTCGTAAGTCAGGAAGGAGCTGTACTTAATTCACATATCTCCCTACACATGATGACCCGATACACAAGCTCTTTATATATATTTGCAATCCATTTCATTGTACAAGGTAAATTTATATGATTTTCCTCATATTTTAAGCCTCTAAGTGTTGGTGTTACTTGTTTATTGTACTAGTTCAGCATCTAATACAGGTGAGACCAAGTTTCATTCCTGACTTTTGAAAGAGATTTTTAAATTAACAGCAGTAACACAATATTACAAAGTTTAACATCCCTCCCCAATAGTATTTATTTAAATCACGACAATGAAGATGAGGTAAAATCATAGTACAGTGAGTTCTGCTATAACGCGTGTTTTGATAACGCGAATTTGCTCTAACGCGATTTATGAATTCGGAACAATATTTGTATAACGCGATCGCTTGTTTGCTATAACGCGATTTTTGCTTACTATTTCTCCAATTTTGTGGTATTAACTGTGAATATGGTAAAGAAGAATATCTCCAAAAAGCATTCTGATGATAGAATTCCCGGTGATTATCGTAAAAGAAAGGATATAACACTTGAAGAGAAGCTTGATGTTATCAACCTCAAAATCACCCTTCTCCCCATCAAGTTACATTCATATTTTTTCAAGGTAAAGTGTTAAATTTACTGTATGATTTCATTATTAGATATGAATGTAACATTTATTTAGACTGTGCTATCCTTTGTGTTAGGCTAACTACTAAATTTTTTCGATTTCGAGTAATCTGCACCTAACCCTATTTTCTCCATAAGCCCTGTTATTTCTATTACGCGATTTTCTATAACACGATATTTTACAAGAACACAATTATCGCGTTATAGCAGAACTACCTGTACAGTTTACATTGTGCTACAGAAAACATCCTAAGCAGTAGCTGTTAAGAGATTTCAATTATAAAAATTAACTTCTTTATACGTATGAACATCAGCTGTTACCCATAAATACAAGCAGGAGTAAAGGCCTAAAAGATTAATTGTCCCTACCTTAACCTGAATGCAAGAACTACAGAGAAAATAAATTTGTATTCAAGTACAAGATAAGGTAGTTTGAACACTTTTAGAATTTTCCACATTTCACACAATAGTACATAAACTTTACCTTGATTTTTCTCTGTCGCTTATGTTTTAAGTCATCGAGAGTCAACAACACTGAATAAGAATTCTGCAATAAAGATGAAAATGATACAGAAACCGAAACTAATAAAAGGAGAAATCAGTCTAACTACATACTGTACTAAGCACAAGAAAGGTGTTGACAGCAACAGAAAAGGTTCAAACAGCAAATGAGTTACTCCAAACATGAACACATACACACTTGTTCTTATACAATAATATCTCCATTAGCCGGAATCCCCGTCAGTCATAACTGAAATTGGCTCAGAATTTTTCCGGAAAATTTCACTAAATTCCAATACTGTGAATGAGTTTCTGAGGTTGAAAATCAAGTGCATTTTCTGAGAAAATTCCAGAAAATCATTCCATTTTTTTCCGGGTCAAGGAGCAATTTCCGAAATTGAAAATCACACACATTTCCTGGAAAACTTCCGGAATCTTTCTTCAAATTTTTTCCTGGGTCTGGGAACATATTCTAAGGATGAAAGAATGATCAACTTCTGGGAAATTCCGGGGATGTGGGATTTTTTCCGGTTTGAGAGAGTTCTCTCTTTACCCGTAAATCTCTGCACCAATTATTCCGGCTAATGGGGATATCATTACAGTATATTCAACTTCTATACAGAGTGAACCATAAGTCTCCATTAGCAAAATATAATTAAGTGTACTCATTTTAAGTGTCTGAAGAATGATAGCTATGAACAACAGTTGTAAATGTGAGAAAATATTTGTGCTTTACAAAATCAGAGAATTTTTAAGGCTAAAAAAATATTTTGGTTGTTCAATGTATTGACCATAAGACCAAACTAAGAGTTGCAACTGAACATAGAGGATAAACAGTTTCTGTAAATATATTATGTGTGGAAAGAAAAGCAGGTGTTGAGCTTGCAGAAATGATAGAGACTGAATATTCAAGGTGACAATATGCAACTTTTGGTAATCCAGCAATTATGATATAAAAGTAATTCATACTGAGCTAGAAAAATAATGTAGCTAGGAAGTACCAGTATTTAGGTCAACTATCTAATACCAAACTACTGTATACACTGAGTATCTTTTATGCTTATTAACTAGTGTGGTGTTCAAGGGCTTGGTCAAAATATGGAGTTTAATATAAAATTTGGAGGCTCTGTAGAGGATACTGAACTGATGATCAGTTTTATCTAATGCACTATATTACTCAACTCTTTAATCCTTGAGCATTGTTGTAGCCTCTCTGCATCATAAAGTTTCACAATTCTTTAATCCCGATTATATATTTCTCTGATTTCCCATGCTGCCTCTAAACTTTATTATAAAAGACAAAATTAACAATTAAATCTACATGTAATTTCACTCCAACTTCCTTTAAATAAAAGTTTGAGTCAGTATCCTTGTCTTGCCAGGGGAACTCAACCCTGGCAAATGGTAAAATGGAGTTAGTCCTCACAGTCAAACCAAGGGTATTTAAGCACTGCCCAAAGACCGCCATTCGGTGAACACACTACTCCAATTCAAACATTAAGGCTTCGTGTTTGAGCAGAGCTGATCATATCCTTGGGTGATTATAAAAGATACAGTTCTTGGCTGCAATTACCAAACTTGTGTTCAATTATGAATACTTAAATGTTTGAATAGGAATATGATATTTCCAGCCAAGGACTGTATCTTTGGTAGTAAGCCAGGGATATGACAGAATGAGACAGTGCTTACATACCCCTGGCTTATCTGCTGGGACTATCATAAGATTCCAACCTAATCTTTAGGGCTGAAGCTTCAATCCAAATGAGCTTTAGTCCTAAAGGCCTACTACAATTGGTACACATTTGACCTCATACATCTACTTGTCAAAACATTGTTTCAAAAGAAATATCAACGCACGCAAGACTTACTGTCTATAACTGCTATAACAAAAATAAAAATTATGTAGATTCCACTACCACGAAGACCTACTCTACTCTAGGTTTAACCAACATTAAAATAAAATTCATACATAATTATTACATTACAAGCATCTGTACTATAATGCTAAAGTTCACATTCAACAACTAAATGAAAATTTTATTCATTGCACCAGTACACATCAATAATGCTATGTACAAATTAAACTAATTAATGAGATCAGTTATAAATAAAACTTTAGTATTAGTTAGCTGGCAGTAAATGTCATTTCACGGGTATATAATACAATATAAATATCGTAATACAAGAAATTCAAGCTGCCTTACATTCGGCACAGCTTGTAATTCCAAACACAAACTGAATTACACACTAATTAACATTTTTATTATAGTAACCCACTTCACACACTAACATGTGTAGTTTGCACACATATATACACCCAACACCACACATACCTTTCAAATGCATTACTGTGCTCTAGAAATGAGTTCTACCACCTGATGTACACACCATCCAATACTGTACATTAGAATGACACCTGTGTACTTGCCAATGAAATTAAACAAATAATATGGATGAAATTTTCCAGGATTTATGAAATGTGGTAAGAAATGGTGCTTTAAAATACATTTGCTGAAACTAATTTGAGTCAATGAAGTCTTCATTACTTTGAAAAATACAGGATTTTTCAAAAGAATGTATGCACACTGTCTTAAAAGATTTTTGTGGCAATCACATGAATACTTGTACAGAAATGTACAATATACAACAGCAACACTGTCCTCACTTGTTGATGTCCAAGTTCTCCCACAAATGAGGACAATGTTGCTGTTGTAATACAAATATTCAAGTGATCACAAAAATCTTGAGGGCAATGTGTATATAAACCTGTATATAAATTATTCATGTGCCAAGAATCATTATTCCCAGTACAATGAACTCAGAACACAGAAAATAAATCATCCACACCTTTTTAAAGATGTCAAATACTTTCTTCTTGAAAGTTTTCATATAGTACAAGGTCATGTGTGAAAAGGCAGCATCAAATTAGACCAATGCTCATGATGAGAATGGCCGAGGCTTTGTTCATTATGGATTAGGGGTAAATATTACAATGAAAGCCGATAAAAGTTTCTTCAACAAGTACAATAATCCTACAAACTTAACCACTTTGCTATGATACTGTACATCATTATGAGATGTCTTACACCTATTGTTATTTCATCAAGACATGAGGATATTACAAGTAAAGGTCTGATACCAGGGTATTTTGAGACATTAATGGTGAACAATACCAGGGTATTTTGAGACATTAATGGTGAACAATACCAGGGTATTTTGAGACATTAATGGTGAACAATACCAGGGTATTTTGAGACATTGGTGAACAATACCAGGGTATTTTGAGACATTGATGGTGAACAATACCAGGGTATTTTGAGACATTAATGGTGAACAATACCAGGGTATTTTGAGACATTAATGGTGAATAATACCAGGGTATTTTGAGACATTAATGGTGAATAATACCAGGGTATTTTGAGACATTAATGGTGAACAATACCAGGGTATTTTGAGACATTAATGGTGAATAATACCAGGGTATTTTGAGACATTAATGGTGAATAATACCAGGGTATTTTGAGACATTAATGGTGAATAATACCAGGGTATTTTGAGACATTAATGGTGAACAATACCAGGGTATTTTGAGACAATGGTGAACAATACCAGGGTATTTTGAGACATTAATGGTGAACAATACCAGGGTATTTTGAGACATTAATGGTGAACAATACCAGGGTATATCTTACTCTTTGAAGATTGAGCATGGATAGTTTGCCTATCAACCTATGGAGTGACAGAAAGAAATAGAATAACCTTATTGAGTGTGGCAGCCAAGGTGAGTGATCCTTCATGTTTCAGCAATGACTGGTCAAATGGGTCCCGGTCGTACTGGATCCCAAACTAACCTACACCATGAGGATTTGGGACTGTCTTAATGGACCAGAAGTCCAAAGGGGATCAAATCATACTGGTTTGGTTAGGTTGGGAGTCCATTTTACCTCTATTACAGTCAATGAAATGCTTGCAGATAAGTATCTATGACTTTATTCTACAATCCCGATATACACTCTAAAATTAAATAACAACTGAGCCTAAGTCATATATTAGATATTTTATCAGGTGAAAGAGATATTTTGCATGTGCTATTTGTTTTTATTCCACTGCTAAACTCAACTTATTATTATTCGGCATGTACAACTTAAAAAGATTTAAGATCTCTTGATCAAAGGGGGTTTATTAGTTAGAATTAAAGTGCATATACTGTACTGTACTGCAGTCTACAAAATATAAAATGGAACGAGTAAGGCATGAATACAAGACACTGTGGTATTGTGTACTTAGGCAAAGTGATATACTGTACAACATTAATGAATATTATAACTGTTAAATTTGAATTTAACTCCTTCAATATGTGTAAGAGCTTGTATGCACCATCAACATCCAAATTTAACCTCTTATGGCACTGTAGTGGTCTCCTATGTCACTCTGAAGATGGAAGAGACGAAGAGAAACTATTCCGCAGGTGCCTCCATACAGAGAAATTTTCTCCTGCACCCTGTGGAAATATTGACATGTCATGCTCATGAAGACCTCTTTTAACAGTAAAATGTTATACAGTATTTCAATTATTCTTTACTTTTCACTGCTAGCATCTTATTTTAAGACGAGTCAAGTTTATGAGTATTGTATACTACTACTGTACTGTAGTTTGGACTAGTAATATATCTTAAAAACTTTTTGATCAATTTATTATTACAAATCACCAGAATATTGAAGTGTAAAACCCTAACAAGCCCAAGTTTAATGTCTTACGGCAGAAGCATGCGTGGATGAAAAGTTGTCTCCAATTCTCCTTAGTTCTTGGCCAAGTTCCACTGCCAAAGTCACATCACAAGATAAGGCTCGATGTCGTCGCCAAGCTGGGCGAGCTCGTATTCCTCTGGGCAGTTCAAAAGTGTCACTGAATTCAAAGGACCCAGCAAAAGACTGTGAAGAGGGTGTGGTGTATGGAGGAGTGCAGGCACCACTGGCACGCCCTTCTGTGTCAACAATCAGGTCTGGTAGGGCTAATACCAAAACACGTCTGCGATGTCCTCCACTGGCTGTAAACATATACAAATGTTATAATTTTTTACATTCATATACTACAGAAAAAATAAAAGTACCATTATTGTGTTAAAATTTATGTTAAAAATGTTCAATGACAAAATCAATTGTAAACTGAGTAAACCAATGTACAGTAGCTAAACCAACTATCTGTGCATACTTTGTGGGAAACAATACGAGACCACGGACGATAAAGTTTGGTATACGAGAGCTGTCACTAGTCACATGTAAAATTTCGGAGCATATCGACCACCAGATACTTGTTTTAGCTACTGTACATAAATTATTTGTATACAGTTGGTCCTCATATTACGCGGTCCCGCATTCCGCGTTTCACCGTTAACGCGGTGCCTTGCCAGAACCTGACATTTTCACATTCCGCGGTCGTGAACCCCATTACGCGGAGAGCGGCTGGCAAGCCGCGCCATTTTTGGATCCAAACCTCCCGCCATCTGCCATGTTGTGTAAGAGGCGCGAAAATGGTGCGCACAAGGTCGCCCAGTCATCAAAACATGACCAGTTCTTCACCCGCCACCCACTACAGCCGGCCCAAGTCAGTGATAGTGATAATTATAGTGAGGATATGGACTTATATGAACTTTGGGGGGTTTGACAAAGAGGCCCTGCAAGCCTCTGTGGTGGATAGTGATACAATTGATACAAGTGATACAGGTGAGGGCCAATAATCTGCCCTCTGCCTCGGAACCAACCGCCCATCCCCGTGTGCCCAGCCATCTTTTCTACTAATGTAAGTGTTAAAAAACCTAACATTATTGATATTTCTCTTAATTATTAATTGTGTGTGCATGCCATCATAAAGTTAAGATAATATTTTTACTACAACACAGTTGTGTGTCGTCAAAAAGTGGAGTTTGGGGATCGGCCCGGACTCCATTTCAATTAATCCCATATGTTATGTTATTCACTTTACGCGTTTCTCACTTTCCGCGGTACCCTCCGGGTTACATTAACCGCGTAATATGAGGACCAACTGTATATGGAAACCAATGTTAAAAAGTAACAAGCAAAAATATTGTTTTAATGACTTAACCTAATCTTTACATTTAAAATGTTCTACTTAATTATGCAGTGACATCATTACTTTCTTCATAAGGACCAATATTATTTGTGGAGTGCCATACTGTACTGAACTGTACCACAAAGCACAGAACTGGGATCAATTCTATTTCTGCCTATGATTAATGGGCTTCTTAGAAATACAGTGTAGTGGGGTATGCTATAACGAATGGATTCTACTACGAATATTCCTATATCGAACGGTTTTACCTATAAAATTGAGAATGCTATAACGAACAAAACTCCTACAACGATTATTTTTTTTTTTTATTACAAGTATTAATGATATTCTTTATTTCAGGGGTTTAGATGCATATTTATGCACTTTTTTTACAATTTTTACAATTTTATATTATATTTTTCAGTGTTAAGTGGTTGCATTTGGGGGCCTGGAACGGATTAATCCTATAACGAACAAGGTTCTAGAACCAATTAGATTCGTTATAATTTCCAAAAATATTGTAGATGATCTTATTATGAGTAGTGTCACTAGTGCTGTTTCAAACTTTTGGCAGGAATATGTATTGAGTCTTTGTCAAACTTGGATGGGATGGAAGGCTGATCCCAAACCTCAGATAAGAGAAGTTATGTTCGTATGACCACAAGGAAAATTAATAAATCCACCCATGTTAACCCTGTGGCTACAACAATATTAATAACTTACCATGGTACACAGTACAAGTTTTCTAGTGTCACATTAGTTCAAAACTATATATTGGATATTTGGGTTAAATAAAAGTAATTAAATTGCTCTTGTATGCCACCCAAGGCTCACACAAAACCAGGGTGAACTAATAAAAAAAAACACAAACACAAATGTAGAATTATTCTAGAAGAGTTACAACAATGATATAAAAACTTACCACCAACAGGATCTACACCTTGAATCTGATAAATCTGGTAGTGTTGTCATAGGCACAATTGCACGGCTAGTATTTTCTCCACTAATTATTCATATTAAATATGACGTCCAAAAAACACGCACGAAACTAATGAGTTGCTCCTCGAGAGAGAAGTGTTTTCTCTAATGAAAGCTACCATCCATTTTCTCTCTCCCTGAAGTGGCCTTCTGTAATGTTAATTTAAAGTACGATGTAACCTGTATGATGTACCTACAATGAGCTGAAGCATTCAAGATGTATTAGGTATATGTTGAAAGCTTCATCTATCTTTATGTGTAGTGTAAATTGTGTTAAGATGATGTGTGCTGAGTGCCCAGTCACAACTGTGATCAGTTTGTGCCTTTCGTGAAGTTACGAGACCTCGGAAAATCCGATTACTGTATTGAAATCAGTGTCAGTTTTGTATTTGAGAAACTCATTAATCTTGAGAACAGAACCTGTCAACACACAAAAATGATACTCCTCAGTAGACAGGATGCTGCGGTTTGTGACTCCACCCACAATGTATTGCCATCCTATTTACTTTACATCAATTTAATTCTTGCATTGCAAAGCTTGAACACTGATTAGATTATAAAAGTTAACTTAGAAAATTAATATAAGCCCAGACAAGTTAGGTCATGCAGGTCGGGTCGTGTTGCATCTGTAACGAAGGGTATTGGCATTCAGGCCTTCGTTGTTGAGCGGCAGAAATTGGACAGTGATTACATAAGAGCATGGAGATACAGCCTAGGTCAGGAGGCATACAACCACAAAATCAATGCCATATGACAAGATTTTTATTTGATTTTTTTATATTTGTGTTCAAGGCTGTGATTGACCATCCAAAGGCCAACCAGAGAGTGTAGTATTGTGCCTTTAATTAAAGATAGTTCATAGTGACATCAGTGACTGCAGAGGAGGTTGGGAATAACTTGAAAGTGAAGCACAAATTGAGGCAAGCAAGCATGCACCACACCACTGCCGGCAGTATCCAAGTCATAAATTATTGATGCCACAATTTTTTTTTCTTTTGTGTGTGTGTGATTTCTCAAGGACTGAAATTGTGTCTACAATCCACCATTCATAGGGAGAACAGTGTACACAGTGATAGTAGAGAGAGACATGTTCGTTGACAAGAACTGGAAATGAAAATATAAGTAAATACTGTACTGTAATAGTTAAGAAAATATAAATAAAAAACCAAGCCGGGCTAACTAGAACGGTATTTTATTGCTGCCCCAAAGAAAGTTTTCTTTTTTTTCTGTGTTTCTAAAGGACTGACTGGGCATATGATCTGCCATTCATAGCAAGATACAGTGTACATAGGGGATAGCACATAGATAACAACAACTTGTCCAGTAGAACTGAAAAAAACAAAAAACATGACAATTCGAACTGTCTTGGACGGCAACACTGGGCGAACAAGGGAGGTTAAGACCAGCAGAGGACAGCTAAGTTATTTATTTTTTTCTTTCTTTTTAAATAACATTGAATTGCCATAAGGGCACAATCACTCCCATGATTATAAAGAAAGTCATCCCATTGAGATAAATTTCTCGGTCATAACGGCTTATACCCAGGCAGCGGAGCGGGGCTTTTAAAGGGACCTTGCCGCTAAAGCCCTGCCACCAAGACACAGATTAGAAGCAATTATTATAGCGAAGGAGGAGGAGTGCAGGGCACTGACGCTCCCAGGCACCAGTCCAGCGTCTGAAACTCCTCCACCCACAGGTAATGTCCAGCTCCGTGTTATACCTCGCCACATTAAGTGATTTTGACTTAGTTAATAGTTTGAATATGCAAGTGACGATTTCCACACTAGTTTGGGAGATGCATGAAGGCCAGTAAATTCGAGTAAATTCGTGAACACGAGCATCAGGAACTAACCACCTCCTCTAGGGCCCAGTCAACTGGCCAGCCGTTCACCTGACACGTTCACTGTCCAGCATGTTGATCTCACAGGCCAAGCAAACACTGCCAGCCCCCATCATTGTTATGGATGAGTCCACTACTCAGTAGGGCTATGTTGTGGCTGTGTTATTCCTCCGAGTACACCTGTATGTATTCAACTGAATTGTCTGAGTGTTTGGAGTCAGCAAGAGTAGGTTGACCACCACCTTGCTTGAAGGCAAAGGTACCACAGTAATGGAGAGAAGCTATAAATCCTGGTGATGTTAAAAGTATTAGTGTTGGTGCTGTAACTGGCATCATTGCCACTTGATCTAATGGTGCTCAAAGGTGCTATGTAAGAGTATTGTGTGGGTTCTTGTAAATGTACACCCAGTCATGGTGTAAGTGGAGAATGTCCCTAAGTTTAACAGTACAAAATGAGTAAAGCCAGGGAGTTGACCCCTGTAGTTGAGTGTTACTGAAATTATTCAGAAAATATAACTTCATTTTAATAAACCATTTTATTTGGATGTTATTTACCTGCAGTATTTTGCCGTCATTCTTTCCCATTGCTTGATACCAGAATTACAATGTCCCCATTTGTCATAACCCTGGAGTCATGCTACCAAAGGTCAGAGGTTATGAAGTAACAATACGATTTAAAATAACTAGACAGAACTAATGGAGGAAATGAATGAGAAAACAAGCTCTTATAAGTGACCACAAAATAGCATTCTTCACATTATATTGATATTCGACAAATCAACAATTCTTCTGAGCATATTTTATATATTTTATACAATTTTTTTATACATCTTCAACTCATCATTAAACATGCTTAATTTTGGTAAAAAAATGGGTGTCGCAAAAAAAAAAAAAAAAAAAACCTCCCTTTTTGGAAATGGCCACCCTAAGCCAGGATCAAGCACCAGCTCTACCTGGCTCTCAGGGACTCCAAAACTATTACCTGTACATTGTTCCTGTGCTGGAAACATTCCCGTTGTTCCTCCTCTCCCCTAATTGTAGGTCCGTTAATTTTAATTTCTTCGACACACTTCTTCAGAGTCCTTAGCTGCTGTAGAACCTGTTCTGATCCTGCATTACTCTCCGCCACCCCCCGTGGCCCTGCTAAGGCCTCAGCATAA